ATATATATATAAATCCCATCTCAGTAAAAACATTTTAAAGGTTCAGTGGGCAGGTTGATATCGGGGCTGCAGTGATCGCTCAGGGGTTAAGCATGCCTCCTGCTCTTCCTGCCTTCCTGGATTTGATTCACACACACACACACACACACACACACACACACACACAAGGGAGCAGAGGACTTCCCCAGTTCTCCTGGGCTCCTATAGCACCATGTACAGCTTCTGGTCTAACACTTGGCGTGTTCTGCGGTGGCTAATTGCTTCTCTCTTGTCCACCCCACTGACTGAGAGCTTTAAGAGCTGGAGTCTTCGTTTGCTAGCCCAAGGCTAGCTACAATAGAAGATCTCAAGAAACGTGTGCCTCAGGGACTGCCCAGCTGACTCTCCATTGCTGAGCCATTTTAGTGTTGACAAGCCAGTAGCATTTTTATACTACTAGGAGGCGGAAGTTAGTTGGTTGGTTGGTTGGTTGGTTGGTTGGTTGGTTGGTTTGTTAAATTTTTTTCAATACAGGGTTTCTCTGTGTAGCCCTGACTGTCTTGGAACTGGCTCTGTAAACCAGGCTGGCCTTGAACTCAGAGATCCTCCTGTCTCTCTCTCCTGAGTGCTGGGATTAAAGGTGTGCACCACCACGACCTGGCTTCCCCCCACCCCACCTCACTTTACTCCCCAAGACAGGGTTTCTTTGTGTAGCCTTGGCTGTCCTAGACCTAGTTGTGCAAAGTAGGCTGGCCTCAAACTCACAGAAATCCACCTGTCTCTGCCTCCCAAGCGCTGGGATTAGAGGTGTGTGCCACCACTGCCCAGCTGGGAGTTAATATTTTTATTGTTTGCTAAATTTTATTTGTGTGTGTGTGTGTGTGTGTGTGTGTGTGTGTGTGTATACACATATGTATGTTGGGGGAAGGGCACACATGGAGGCCAGAGGTGAACCTTGGGTGTTGTTTGTTCCTCAGGAACCATTCACCTTGTATTTGTTTTGAGACAGGGTCTCTCACTGACCTGGAACTAGCTGATTTAGCTAGTCTAGCTGATCAGAGTTCCTGAAGTTCTCCTGTCTCCATCTCCCCAGAGCGGGGATTATGGGTGCACACCACCATGCTCAGCTTTTATGTGCAGTCTGGGGATCTGAATGCAGGTCTTCATGATTCTGCAGCAGGCACTGTACCTACTGAGCCATCTCCCAGCTCTGGAAATAGATTTTGTTGTTGTTGCTGCTGTTAAACTTAAACCTATCTGGGAGGATTCCATAAAGCCACAATGGTCTCTTCATGAAAATAACAAATGCTATGAGACAGTGTGGACTGGTGTGACTCTGCCACTGTGACTGGCAGATGTTCACCCACTGCATTCTCATGTGAACTCCAACAGTTTTCTGGTCAGTGAGGGAAAAAAGACAAAAAGACAGAGGGAGAAGAAAAGATGTGCATTTGATGATAAATAAATCAGCATGACCAGACTGTCAATTTGGAAGACAATGCCAAACTATAAAGAATTGCTTAAGAAGCCCAAGTGCAAAGGAGGAAGAACAGGAAAGAGCCTCTCACGCTCAGCACTGGACAGGCTTAAATCTTTACTCTGGTCACTTCTAATCCAGAGACTAGGATCCCTGCACACCCAGGTCCACAGGTTCTGAGTCCTCCCATGTTTGTGAGTTATTTCATGGTGAATTAGGCACACAAAGAGGCCATCCCTTCTCTCACTGTCTTCACTCCCCTCCTCCCACCCCTCCTCCCGCTCCTGCTCCCTCTCCCTCATCACAGGCTCTGGTGCTGGCTCCTTCCCAAGTCTCAGTGAACATCTGGAACGATTTTTCTATTGTTCTTGATCTGAGTTTGAAAAACCACAAAGAACTTTGCTAAGCAACATTTCCCTTAATGTTTAATCCTACTCGACTTCAGACATATTCACTTCTTCTGCTTCTGACTCATGTATACCTGACTCATCAAAGGGCGTTTTTCTTCTTCCTCTTTTTTCCGTTTTTTAATGAGCCTTTTGCATCCTGGGACTGGAGTGAGCCTCACCATCCTAGTCAGCATCACTCACCTTCTCTCCCAAGAACGTGGGTCCTGAATGGAAAAGGATGACTGAGGCAGGAGGGACCCAGGGTGCCTTCACTCACCCCAAAACATCACCTATCGATATGGGAACATCAGGGTGTCTTTGAGAATGATTGATCCTTTCTCAGCTCTTGGTGAGTTTGGCCCAAAGAGCTGGGCTCCCAGAAACTTTGAGCCAGTGGCTTTTGGGTTATTGTTCGAAAACTTCAAAAAGTGAAATTTGTGAGCCAGAGGAGACAGACTCCTGCGGGAGATGGAGTACCATCAAACCACCGAGCTGCTAATCTGGGGGTTCTTTAAAGGACTTACAACAGAAAGTGGGTGAAGCACAGGGAGAGGGTGAGCTGGTGGCTCAGTCCAGTCGGGTGTCCAGGTACCTCCTCTCAGTCTCTGCCACACAGTCACAGTCTGAAGAGTGTGCCTGGCTCAATGTGTGGCCCCTAACCAGATCAGAAAGTAGGGGGAGAGGGCTAGATACCATGCTGGGACAAGAATGTGTTGCCCTTTTCCTCCAAAGGAAATCATTTCTGTGAAGGGAGGAGGGAAGCTGGCAAGGCTCAGAAAACTACAAAATCAGCAAAGCTCCCCCAACCCCAAGGTGCGTATTAAGTAACTGCAAGTGTGGGGCTTGGAGTGGGGCCTGGAGACTCCTGGAGATGCTGTCTTTGGGCTGGAAGCTCTAGGGTTACAGCTTTCATGAATCACCCTTGTTGGGGTGGGATTTCTGGTGACTCACCAAGCTAGACTCAGTTGGAATCATGTCTTCAATCTGTCCTCCCCATCTTAGCTGGGGTGAATAAACATCTGTCTGCCATGCAACAAGAACACAGGTGCATATTTTAAAACAAAGTACTTTGTCAACAAATAGCAGTCTTGAAATTGACCTGATTTCTGAATCAAATCCTGCCCCATAAAGAATGAGTGGAGTAGATTAAATCATAATAAAGATTCAGTCTGAGTATTGAAGATAATAACCAGGAATGGTTTTGTTAATGAATGAATGGCGCCTGCATCTCCTCCTGACCTAACAATTCTGAGAAGGGCCGTTTGATTTGGTTGACAGACATGTGCTCGAGGGCAAAAGCCTCACTAGTAACGCTAGTGTCAGGGTGCACCATGTAGGTTGAAGAAAGAAAGCACTAGTGTCAGGGTGCACCATGTAGGTTGAAGAAAGAAAGCACTCCCAAGATGAAATTTTAAGGCCTATGTGACAGCAGAAGGTTCAGCCTCTTCTGATGGACTGAACCCCAAACAGCCATACAAAAGTGTATTTACTGAAAGTTATACAAAGCATTTCCTCCTACTAAGGTTCCTAATCTTAATTTACATGTCTTACTGAAGAAGAGCATCACATGCCTCCATGACTCTAGTCCTTTACTATGTATTGTGTGCAATACACAATAATACAAGAGCCTCAGGTGTGCCTGAGGTGTCTTGTGACCAAAGTCTGGGATGGCTGCAAAGCCCCTTCAGCGAAACAATCACTGTTTTCTACAAGGATTCTTCAAGGTCAAAGTACTTCTAAAAAACAGCTGTTCATTCTAATATCTATCCCATATAGTGATTCAGCTAAATTTCTACAACACACTAGAAACTTCATAAACTGTAAGGATAGACCAAAGCAGAGGGAGATGGTGTTGGGAACTGCCAAGGGTCATCTTAAGGTCATCCATCAGTTGACCTTTAGCACAGGAGGTAGTCAAATGTCATCCAGGTCCTGTCAAGGACACATACAGAAAAGCAGAGGCCAATAATTCAGAACTTGTCCGAGGTGGGATTCTTCAAGGAAAGGAGTCACATATGAGCCTGGGAGAGCATGGCCTGACTCTCCCTGCCCAGTCCTGAGCTGGCTCTCCCAGCCTGCATCCCTGCTCCTGATTGCTCATTCATATTTGATATCTTCAAGATGAACAACAGCAAGGTGTGTGTGTGTGTGTGTGTGTGTGTGTGTGTGTGTGTGTGTGTGTGTGTATGTGTGTGTGTGTGTGTGTGTGTGTCCACACACACATATATATATATAGATTTGGCTGAGTGTTTCGGGGATAATTGCCTTACTGTTGACATATGTTTAACTTGCTAGCAACCCCCGTTTTACAGATGCAAATACTGAGTCTCAGCAAGGTCTAGTAGTAACTTAACCAAGGCAACAGAATTAATGATCCCAGCTGACTCACCCGGAAGCGAAGACCATGTTTCTGATGTCATAGCTCCTGGCTGGATTTATGGGGTCATCTGCTGTTACAGCTGAATCTCTGCATAATCTTGATTGTGGCACCAGCCAGTGAAGACTGGATATTCCCTGCCTGCTTTCTTACTGTCTGCCACCACTTGCATGAAGCCAAGCTGAAACAAGGTCTACTCTTGGGGTGCAGATGTCCTGACACCCTGGCAGATCCAGCTGGGGATGGATGAAATAAGGTTCCATTTGCTCTTTGCCCTTTCTCCTTCCGGGTACACTGGGCAAGATGGGGGAGGGGACAAGATTGAAATTGCCAAATTCTTCATGCAGGCAGCTGGCCATGCTTCTCAAGTGGGGAAAGATAACTGTCCCAGCTCGGAGCACAGTCAGCAACATCACTGACAGCCTAAAGGCAGTTCCAGAGCACCACCCTCAACAGTGAAATAGAGATGAGCAAAGAAGAAAGAAAAGGAGAGGGGAAGTGTTGTACCATGATCTAGAGTTTACTTCTTCAGATGATTGGCTCCTTAAATTTTATACGTGATTAAGTGCTGCTGGTACCAGAGGCTTGTGGAAATGAGCCTAGCTGGAGCTGGGAGCAGGAAAGTGGAGCATCTAAGCAAGCAGGAGTGGTGGGGGCTGGGCCTGCTGAGCAGAGCTGCCAGCACCCGGTCTGGTCCAGAAGGCTGACTTCCGGCTTCCGCCTGGTCTGACTTCCGGCTTCTGATCTAACTGCATCTTTGAGCTCTCTTCTGCATCTGTCATGAATCTTCTGGCTCCTGCATCCTTTTTAAGGGGGGCAGGCAGGCGGGTGGAGAGAGTGCTGCATCTTGGCTGCTCTGTAATAACATGGATAGCTTGGTGAGTGTTTGTGAATAGGAAGGACCTGAGGAGTGGCTGGAGCCAGGGTTTTCCTAATGCTATTAGAAGGCCAGTGGACAGAGGGCTGTCTGCTGGCAGAGCCTAGAAGACGGACATTGTGGCTAATGAGCCTGTGATGGATAGGAGCTCTTGGGAGTCACAGCTCCAGAGGGACCCATGGCTAAAGAGGGAGCTGTACTTCAGGAGCTTCTTAGACCACATAGAAAGTGTACCCAAGTAAAGAGTCCTTTATTTCTCTGTAACAAGGTCCTGGCCCCAGTGCATAGGCACTTGTCAAGTCCCTGTTTGTGAAACATTGGTGAACATGTCATTGGTCCCATATTCTAGGAGTGGGGAAATTCAAAACTCCTCTCTCTTGATGAGAAGAGGTGGGGCTGGGGAAACAGTTCAGTCAGTAAAATGTTTGCCTGGCTGGCTCAAGGACCTGGGTTTGCTTACCCCATACCTACATACAAAGCTAGACACTGTGGTATATGCTTGTGAATCCCAATGAAGGCAAGATGGCAAGCAAACACAGAATTTCAGAGCTTGCTAACCAGCTTGCCTAGCCTACTTGGTGAAGTTCCAGGCCAATAAAGGAGATCCTGTCTCAAACAAAAGATGGAAGGCGCTTGAGGACCAACATCCAAGGTTGTCTTCTGCCCTCTATAGTCACACACATGCACACATGCACACACACATAGAGGAAGTGGAAAGCCATTCAGGGAGGGGAAGACTTCTTTGAGCCATTTTACAAACAGCATGTGGTATACTGGCCCTGACCCACTTAACTTTGAAGAACTCCAAGTTTATTTTTATCTCACTTCAGTTCTTGGACTTTGGTTCAGATTTATATTTTAAAAGGTCACTCTGACAAAATGAATGACAGGATATTGTAGGGTCAACCAATTGAGAGAATTACTAGCTCTCTGCATCTGTGTGTTCCACACCCTCACATGCAGACAAGCCAAGCTTGAAAGTGTTCAGGGGAGAGCTTACATCTGTAGATGTGCAGGTGTTTCTTATCATTACTCTCTAACAATACAGGATAACAACTATGTGAGCATAATCAGCTGGGTGAGGCCTGGCAAGTCACCTAGAGAAGAATTAAAGCTTGCTGGAGGATGTAGGTTGCATATGCAAATGTGTAGGAGGGACTTGAGCAACCATGGGATTTGGTATCCACAGGTGGTACCAACCCCCATAGAATCCGAAGAATGACTGTAATCTCATTCTCACACTGCCCCTGGAGTGACATAGCATTATTTTTAAATGGTCTTGGATTCACTATAAATCCATATTGTAAAGGGCAGAGAGGAGGCTCAGCAAGTGAAGGCATTTTCCACCAAGCCTGAGTGCCATTGCCAGGGTGTGGTAGAAGGAAAGAACTAACTCTTGCAAGTTGTCCTCTGACTGCCACGTTCATGACAAGACTTACGCACACAAATACACATGCATGCTCACATATGTAAGTGAATAAATGTAATGTTTTTAATGCATATTGTGAACTCTGAGGAAAAGACTTAAACTTAAAAAAAAAGTATAATCAATATGTCAAGAGCTGAAAGTACTTAGGAGCAGCAGGCATGGTGTCCACCCCAGCAGTCCTCTGTAACTTGGCCTGAAGACTTACAGTATCTATCCTAGCATTGCCTGTCATATGGCAAAGACCTGGTTTCCACAAACTGAGCGATCCCTGAGGGAAGGGAGAAAACCTTATTTATGTGTACATTCTAGCCTGTCTTCTCCTACCCTTAGTACAGTAGCTGGGAAGTACTAAGTGTCATCACTGATGGATAGATGGATGGATGAACAAAAAGATGAGTGGGTAGGTGGGTGGATGCTGTTTACATGGATCCCTTCAAATAGAACCAAATATAAAGACTTGGTTGCAAGACATTTTCTAGAAGGTGATCTCAGAAAGAATTGTAAGTGAGGAGAGAAAAGGAGAGAAAGAAGAGTATGGATTTCCTTAAGGAAATGAATAGGCTTGACCAGTCTGGCTGAGGAGGAATGGTGTTGAACATGCCTCTGAGAGGACTCACCATGAATGAAGATATTGGGGCATTTATGTGCCTCACCCAACCCCTCACTGGTTGGTATAACTGCCCACTTTCTTCAATGCCCAAGTTCTTCCTGCTTCTAGTTCAGCAACTTCCTGTGTGTGGGAGAAAGCCTCAGACTGGGTCTCAGCAGCATCTGCTGCCCATGTGCATGTACCAGACGCCTGGGCATCAGAAACACTTTCTTCAGAGTGAATAGATCTCCCTGCTGTGGGATGTTCTGTATGGCAAATGTGTTGCTCTGATTGGTCAATAAATAAAACACTGATTGGCCAGTGGCTAGGCAGGAAGTGTAGGTGGGACAAGGAGGAGAATAAAGCTGGGAAGTGGAAGGCTGAGTCAGAGACACTGCCAGCCGCCACGATGACAAACAGCATGAAGATGCCGGTAAGCCACGAGCCACATGGCAAGGTATAAATTTATAGAAATAGATTAATTTAAGCTGTAAGAACAGTTAGCAAGAAGCCTGGTATGACCATACAGTTTGTAAGCAATATAAGTCTCTGTGTTTACTTGGTTGGGTCTGAGTGGCTGTGGGACTGGTAGGTGAGAGAGATTTGACCTGACTGTGGGCCAGGCAGGAAAACTCTAGCTACACCTCCCAGCTCTTGCCAACCCAGATACGATACTTTCTTTGCAGATGGTCAACAATTATTTGCTTTCTGAAATGACATACACTGCCCATGTCATAGTCCAGCAGGTGAGTCACATCCCCTGGCCCTCAGAGACTAGTGTTTCTCTCTCACTCTGACCCCAATTCCCTAAGACGATATTATCCATGGTCCTGTATTCCTTTACTTTTACTTTGTTTGTTTCAGTGTTCAGGCAGAATCCAGGGCTTTGTACATGCTAGTGTACACTCTACCACTAAGCTACATCCTCCAATTCCTGCCCTGACTTACTGCAGGCTTTTTGGATTCCTAGGCAGACTGAAAGGGAGGCCACCAGTCTCAAGGGCCTCCTCGCCAAGGTGAAACCTCCAGGAACAGACTGGGTTGCTGAAGATGTTCTAGCAAACAAGGAGTAGGAGAGCTGGCGCTTGGAGGTGCAGGGAGGATGTGCCTTCTCGTTTGAACAAAGCTGTATGGTTTTGCTGATGTTTCTCTGGGCTTTGATGGCCTTTCCAGCTGTGAGGAACATATATGAGGAGAGAAAGAACAGTTCAGTTCAGAGTGGGGAGAGAGGAAAAGCTGTCTACAGCTGATAATAGAATTTCTGGGCTGAAAGTTTCCCATTGTTCTGCTTTTTCTTCATATTTTAGGAGACAACAGAGGGAGCTGGGATTCTTGCTGGAATGTGAATGCTCTTTCCACTCTGAGAGATCAGTATCTTCTGACTTCCTGATGTCCTTGTTAGGAGCTAGAAACCTGGACTCACCTGCACACACCTGAGCAGGGAAGATGGCCCAGAATTGGCTCACAGGCACCAATCCCAGAGAACAGAACCAGTGTGCTAAATCACAAATACACCCCTGGTCATTGGAACCAAATACTAAGAGCCTAGATTAAAGCCCAGCAGAGCACATCTGGACCAAAGTCCCTTCAGAAGGTGGTGACACTTTTGAGTCAGAAGAACCTGGGAGAAAGCGATACTAGAGGTGGATAGATGGCCTCCACAGGGAGCATGAAGGAACTAGTAAGAGTGGGTTTGGGTTAGGGACCATTCTCAGCCTGTCCCTAGAAGGTCCTTTTCTGTGTAGTCTCATGCAGTCCAGTCATTGGCTGGGGGAGTAAGGTCAGCGGGATTTATAACCAGATGAGCCCAGCTGCCCACACTCCTGACAGTTTCAGACACAACCACTTTTCCATAAATGAGCTGTGTGGGTTTCCACAACCCTCACTCCACAGAACCATTATTCAGAGTGTCTTCATCCCCATGCTCACCGATATCAGTAAACACCCAGAACCACAGTGAGGCAAAACACTGCCCTTAGCTTTAACATGTCTCACTCTCAGTTTGCCATGGGAGACAGGTCCTTAACAGCATGCCGAAGCTCCTGTGAGCAAATCAAAGTTCCTCTAGACACTTCTCATCTATTCACTTCCAGTATTTTCGTTGTTTTTTGTGAATAACTGCACTGTTTGGGTCCAGTGAGCTTCATCACGTGGAATGTGTATCTGAATTGTATTTCTGCAGCCTGGGTCACAACCAAGGAAAGAAGCAAACACGGCATAATGTGAGTTAAATTCAAGTGGGGTAGGATCAGGTTATTTTGACCAGAAGCAATTTCTATACTTGAAATACAGAACAAAGGAAAGTGTGAGCCTCAACACACAAAACTGGAAGCGTTCCGGGTGCGATTTCATTTGTTTTGTGTTGTTCATGGACATTTGTCCCAGATAAGCAGCTGACTCGGTCCTGTGGACGTGCTGTCTGTGTCACTCACTTAAAACCTCATCCTTTGCCTTTTCAATCTGCCCTTACAGCCGACCCGGGACGGGGGTGAGGGTGGGAGGTGGGGGGTCTGGGGGGGGGGGGTCGACGTCACTTCAGGGCTGGTGGGATGTGAAGAAGGACCAGGAAGTTCTCAGAAAAGGTGACTGTCACTTAGCAGCAAGCCTGGTTGGATGTTAACCAGTTTATTATGTCCCTTCTGACTTTCTTTCTCTGCGAAAAAGCACCAGGCTTTTGTGTATGTCGTGTTTGTGCATCTGTATGCATATGTGTGTATGTATGTATGAATATGTATATATATATATGTATATGTATGTGTGTATGTATATAGTGTGTATGTGTGTGTGTTGGTATATCTGTATGTATATGTATGTATATGTGTGTAGGTGTGTAGATGTATTATGTGTATGTGTTTATGTGTGTGTAATGTATGTATATGTATGTGTGTGTGTGTGTGTGTGTGTGTGTGCATATTGCAGTCAAAGGTTGATGTTAGGTGTCTTGCTCAATCTCTCTCTACCTTGCTCTTGAGACAGTCTCTCCCTGAACCTGGAGCTCACTGATTTGGTTGGGATCTATTTGTCTCTGCACCCCAGTGCTGTGATGACAGGTGCAGGTCTCTATGGCTGGCCTGTTACATGGGTGCTGGGGATCTGAACTCAGGATCTCACGTTGTGCGTCAGACACTGCACTAACTGAGCGGTCTCCCCAACCCCGGCTTCCTGCCTTCTTACCGCATTCTTTCCTTCACTCCAGCACAATAACACTGAAAGCAGCTTCGGCACTGACATCCTGTTCCATTCCAGGTGTCGGCCTGCAAGACGACAGAGGCCGTTTTTGTGCTGGGCCTGGCGGCTCAGTGTCCAGTGGCTGTTTGCGGGCAGCAGACAGGGACACTGGGACCCACTTCATTTTCTTGAGGATGCCCAGGCTGCACCAAGGCTGAAGCTGGCAATTAGTGTCTGTCGGGCTATGAAGGGCCACAGAGCCTGCTGCTCACTTGGGGTTCTGGCAGGATCCCATTGATTATTTTATAAAGATGAGCTTCCCCCTCTTTTTCTTTGAATATTTGCTTACATACACTTTCTCACTTTTCTTTCCATCTTCCCACCCTTCCCACGTACACACACTAAAATAACTCACTCCGCAGCACTGTCGAAGAGGGGCTGCGGAAGCCTGTGGTCTCTTCCCTCAGCTGGCAAGCTGCCAAGGAGGGAAAGGGGGGTTCTGGCCCCGAACCAAGGACACAATTATCGACATGCTTACCATCCAGTGTCTCATCTCCTTCAAGGGCCTGCTAATGAGATAATCTGCAATGCAGGTCTTTTGCCGTGTTCATCTGGGGAGTGGGGAGAGCTCTTCTTAGAATTCCCTTAGAGCATTGCTGGAAAGGGGAGTCCCCTTGCCCAGCCTGATGTTTCTTTTCTTTAAAAAATAAGAAACAAAACAAAACAAAAACCACTTTAGAGTGTGCTGTACCACTGAGCCATCTTGCTAGCCACAGCCTGATGTTTCCAAGGAGTAAGTCTGTTTCTGAATCAGACTGGCATAAGTGCCTTCACATGTCTGTGTCACCAAAAAGCTCATATGTCCAAAGGAGTTGAAGTGTTCCAACTCTGAAATTAATCACAATCAATTGGCTCTGAAGCCCTAGACAGAAACCTGACTCAGTGACGAGGCCTGTGATAAATGACATCTGAGGTCACACCTTCCTCGGCCTTCCAGGCAACTCCTTTCTTCATGTGCTATGTAGAGTAAAGCCCACACCCATGTGACATGTCTGGCAATGTGGTAGGCATTCACTGGGGAAACCCATTGTGTCTGCAGCAGCATCAGGAATGCCACCACTACATGTGCCCATACTCACAAAACCCAGGCTGCAGTAATACCACAGGCAGGAATGAGGAGCAGGATGGATGGGCAGATGGACCTAGGTAAGGCACGTACCTGCTAAGCCCTGTAGATGAGCTGAATTGCATATGGACATATGGCCAGGGGCTGCTGACAGCTGACCCATTTTTTCCAGAAAAGCCAAATGTCGAAAATGTGACATGAAACCTCTGATTTTCAATTAGTGTTTAAATACTTTTTGAACAACACACAGGCCCCATCATGTACCTGTCTTGAGTTGGATCTGCCCTAAGGCCCTGGAGACAGTTGTCAAGCATGAATTGAAGCTTCCTGTGAGAAATCACTGATACCCATGAATGCTGCAGAGACCTTCCTGTCCACATTGTTCAGGGAAGAGGCTGAAGAAAAGACCTACATTCTTCAATAATATTTCTAGACTCATGGCAGCTGAAAGACTGCAGTGGGCGACTGCCTCTGCTTTAGCCTGCAATGACAAAGCAACCAGTCACAGCTGAACCAAAGATGCTGGCTCACTCAGGCTCAGGGACAGGCAGCCTCCACCCCCACCAGGTTACCCCAGGAATTTGGGCCATCTAACCTCAGCCAGGGGGGACCAGGTGAAAACCCAGTATCAGACAGATAAATGCTGGGCTTGGGGGCTAAAGCAAGAGTAAAACTCAGGTATGGTGGTGTATACCTGTAATCCCAGCACTCAGGAGGTACAGACAGAAAGATTGCAAATCCAAGCCCACCTACATAGTAAGACCCTGTCTCAAAAAACCCAAACAACTCCCTTCACTGAGAGAGAGGGGAAGAGAGAGAAATAGAACATGAGAGCAGAGATGCCAACATACCCTTCTGTTCTCCAACACTAACCTGAATCTCCAAACCCTCAGCTGCTAAGTAGAGAGCTGTACTATGCAGACTTCACCCACAGCATTCCCTGAGGTCTCCGTGCCTTCCTGAAGCCAGCTTTCTCCTTGCTCCTCAGGACAGCTTCTATTTACTTACCTATACTGCCTCGACCAGTTGCTGCACATTTTAAGAGTCCACTAAAGACAATGGCATGGTCACAGAGTGCAACATAAACCTTCCAGTGCCATGACACCTTCCTGGGCCATGAGCAGAAAAATAAACTCATGCCCACAAGGTACACCTGGCATGGTAAGCACCCATGGTATCTGTGTCTCCCCTCCAAGCCTTGCCTACTCTCTGCAGCTCCTCACGTGAAGTCTATACTTGAGCTGTTTCATGGTCCTGTGACCCACAGACTTGCTCAGGACACCAAGTCAAAACTCCTTGCACTTGACTCCAATGTCTTGCTATCTGTTTTGAAGTTCCTCGCAACTTTTAGATATGAGGCTCCTTGCTTTCTTTGTATTGGGCTCTATTAGTCCTGTAGTCAGCACTGATGGTCTTTCCTAAAGCCATGCAGTGCTCTAGGGGATCTGGGTGAGAACACCCACATATCTCTGAGCTCCAGTTCCTTCACTCATAGCCATCAGTCTCACAACAGAGTTGCCTGGCTGGTTCTAACTATGGTAGAGAGGGTTGCTACACAGCAAGGCACAGAACAGGAGTGGATATTCCTTAGTCCCCTGAACCATGAGAGCAAGGCAGAAAGGAGCTAGGATGGGAAAGGCATGGGTGCCTGGGCCACATGCAAGGCCCTCTACAGAGCCTCAGGGAGTCTCCCTATTCATAATAAAATGTTATTTGTCAAAAATATATCACATGTTAGGCACTTTTTGTTCTCCATGACTTGTCCTTACAGCATAGAAAGTGCCTGTTTTATAGAGAGGAAAATGAGTCACAGAAGATTTCTGACCAGAAGGCTGAACCTTGGACAGCAACCTACAGCTCTTCCTGTCCTGCCCTGTTCTAGCAATCAAAGGGCTCCTTCCTGTTCTTTGGGCCTGGAAAACACCTCAGATGCACCCATGATGAAGCTCAGAGCCTGAGCCCACAGCCCACAGCACATATTTGGCAGAGAAATGATAAGAAGGATCAGAAATGGAAGAAAAGTCATAATTCAAAGATTAAATGTCTGTTAGAACACAAGGTAGCAGTAAAGACAGCAGCAGGTTCCCCAGGGCTTTGGGTAACCCTTAGGGACACTATTGTGTGTATTTCCTTGGATATGTTTCCATGTTGCTTCTAGAGTCAAAGAATATATTTGCTGTGTGACTTTTCTAGGAGAAACTTGAACAAATGTTTATTTGCTTCAGATAAGAAACCAATGACAGGGCTGGAGAGATGACTCAGAGGTTAAGAGCACTGACTGCTCTTCCAGAGGTCCTGAGTTCAATTCCCAGCAACCACATGGTGGCTCACAACCACCTGTAATAAGATCTGGTGCCCTCTTCTGGCCTGCAGTCATATATGCTGTATACATAATAAATAAATAAATCTTAAAAAAAAAAAAAAGAAAAAGAAACCAATGATAGGCCAAAGAAAGTATTCCATCTAATTCTAATTTAGTGAAACTGAGTTTATTAGGGTTACTCATAGAAACAGGGATGAGGGATTGCTCACAGGAGCAGAGGTGAGGGGTTTCTCACAGGAGCATGGGTGAGGGCCATTCAAAGAAGTATGGTTTAAGGGTCACTCATAGGAGCAGGGATGAGGGGTTGCTCACAGGAGCAGGGGTGAAGGGTTTTTCACAGGAGCAGGGGTGAAAGCCATTCAAAGAAGCATGGGTTAGGGGTTACTCACAGGAGCAGGGGTGAAGGGTTACTCACAGGAGGAGCAGGGGTGAGGAGTTACTCACAGGAGCAGGAATGAGGGGTTACTCACAGGAGCAGGAGTGAGGGATTGTTCACCAGACCTACACCATCATGACTGCCACACCAGATCCACACCATCATGGCTGCCACACCAGACCTGCACCATCATGGCTGCCATGTGTTCCTTCCCCCTTTCTCTTTATAGGTCAAAATTTCCAGTTTCTCTGGGAAGGTTGAGAGAATGCTGTGGATTCCCACTGCCACATCATATGAGCGGAACAAAACCAAAATGAAAACAGAATCTTTTCTCAACACTCTGGACATGAAAAGGAAGGGGAGAAATGGGCAGGCCTCCATACCCACACTTACTGGCTCAGTGCATACTGTGAAAATTTTCTTCCCTATGTTCCTTCACATCAAGTCGTTCACAACTATACTAGGATTCCAGACATGCCAGCAATGTTATCTCTTTGCACAGAGTTCTGGCTGTCCCTGACCTGTAACACAATGGCTGGTATCCACCACTAAAATGTGTGGCCTCCCTGACTACCCAGATCCCTTCTGGACTCTGCCTGAGGGGTGTTTTCTGGGAAGACCACATGCTTTATGCATGCTGGAGAGCCAGGGTCTCTAGAGTAGCCTCAACTCAAGATGCATAGGCGGTGGCTAGGTGAGTAGCCAGGCTCCAGTCCTGCCCAATGAGACAGCTTGTCAGATGCCTGAACAGTAGTACTAAGCTCCAATTGCCCTCAGAAATTAACTGCTCAAAAAAGACTCCTGGAACTAGAGAGATGCCTCAGCAGTTAAGGTACATACTTCTCTTGCAGAGGACCTGAGTTCGATTCCCAGCAACCACGTCAGGCGAGTCATAAGGTTGCCTGTAACCCCAGCTACAGAAGATTTGACACCCTCTCCTGGCCTCCAAAGGTACTGTACACATGCACATACACACACACACACACACACACACACACACACACACACACACACACACACACACACTCATAACTAAATAAACACAAAGGAAAAATAAAAATATATAAAAATCTATTTTTAAAATTTTTGTTTGATATCTTTGGATATTTTTTCCTGTGTGTATGTCTGTGTGCCATGTGCATGCCTGGTGCCCATGGAGACAGAAAAAGGCATCAGAGCCCCCAGAACTGGAGTTACAAAAGGTTGCAAGCAGCCATATGTGTTCTGAGAATCAAACCCTGGTCCTCTGGAAGAGCAGCAAGTGCTCTTAACTGCTAAGCCATATCTTCAGCCTCCATAAAATCTATTTTTAAAAGTCTCCTGCTATATCTTCCTCCCCCACCCTTAGTTACTTCCCCAACCCCTAAAGGAGCTTCCTGTTGTCTCCTCCCTTAGTTTGAATTCTTGTCTCAGAGGTACCCTCCTGGGTACACATTGTCATTCCACTCTGTGCAAAAGGAGACTATCAAACAGCATGTGAAGTTGTACAAATCACTTAGCTGGCATGTAACACTCACAGACTTCTGTCACTTACTGAAGGGTGTTTGGGGGGTGCTTATATCTGTAACGGTTAGCTTTTGTTGACAGAATATATATACTCACCTGGGAGATGGGCCCCTGGGCATGTCTGTGGGGGTTGTCTTGAATCCTTAATTGAGGTGGGAAGACTGCTCACCTTGAGTAGCACCATTCCCTGGCTGGGGTCCTGGGCTGCTTAAGTGGGAAGGTTCACGGAGCAGCACCACATTGCTCTCTGCTTCCTGACTGTGAATGTAATATGACCAGCTGGTTCAAACTTCTGCCACCTTGATGTCCCCACCATGATGAATTGTACCCTTGAACTGAGAGGCAGAGGAAAAATCCTCTTCCTTAAGTTGCTTTTGTGAGAGTATTTTATCAAAGAAACAAAGACAGCATTCTAAAGACAGAATGACTAGCCACAGCAAGATATGCAAATTTGAAGATTCTCACAAGTCTAGGGTCACATCTCTATAGAATATCAACTCTTCCATGATTGCCACATCATTCCTCCATGCCATTCATATAAAAACAAAAACCGAACAGAACGTACAGAGCACCTACTGGTGACAGGCCCTCACCCAGGAGTTGCAGAGAGAGTTGTGAGCAAGTTCCAGCCCTTGTCCCCATCAAGATCCCCATGAAAGGTCCTCCTGCATCCCGCTGTAGGGAGGTGCTGGCATAGAACCCAGGGCTTTGTGCACAGTAGGCCAACATTAAGATGCAGCCCAGATTTCACTCCACATTCAGACAATGTTGATCTTTTATTTATGCATCTGTATTTTGAAGATGGCGCTCGGAGATCTGGGTTTTAGATTGACACTGCTAGGGAAGATGCTGTCTGGCTTGATCAGTCCCAATTGTTTTCAGTAACCATACTGGCAAAGTGCACTTCAGCCCATCGTTGTGGAAATAGCTAAGAACAGCTATAGGGAAATCTGAGCTTGGTCTTCATGCCAGGCCTGGTCTAGGAGACAAGATCACTGAGGGGATGACACAGCAGTGCTAAGGCCAGTGCATGACCATGAGGCTGTTCTCAGTTGCATCTAGTCCCATTTAGCATGGACCTATAAGATCCAGCAGCCAGAGGCACAGTTAACTGCTGAAAAATAGCTTTGTCACATTTGGGAGCCCCTTCTGTGTAGCCCCAAGGCTCTGTGAGGAAAATAAAAGGTGATGTAAGTCCTTGGCCTATACCCCCTTAACTGTGTGTCACACATCTTTACCCATTTAGCCATCTTCCCTGCCCCTAGGATTTGCATCTTTACATTTCAAAATGTTGCTACTGCTCCAAGCACGTAGACAGCCATTTCTCCAGCATCCTGTCAACAACACTCAGTAACTGCAGCCCCCCATCACCACGCCTTTGAAGACTGTATTAGTCAGGTGCTCTAGATGAAAGACTGAAAAAATGAATGTATACTACACAGGGGATTTATTAAGCTGGCTTCCATGATGAGAGCTGAGTGGTCCAACAATGACTGCCTACATTCTGGAAGGCTGAAAACACCAGTAGCTGCTCAGATGCAGGAGATTGTGAGGCCTCAGCAACCCCAGCCTGGCACTGATGGCCCAGAGGATTCCTGGAGAGCCACCAGTCTTCAGTCCACTGGAAGTTTGAAGAAGCTGGGTACTGATGTCAATGAAAGACTGAGGAAAGGTGCACTCACCGGCAAGGAGCGAAGGCAGGCAGACCAATCTTATGTTCCACTCAGACCTCTTGACATCTGGGCTGTGGTGGAAAGTACCACCCATGCTGCGGGGAGGGTCTTTGCCCCACAATTAATCCTTCCTGGAAATGTCCTCAGACCCACCCCAAGGCATACCGCATAGCTGATTCCAGACCCCATCAAGTTGACTACAGAGATGAATATGCCTGAAACTGCCATGAATATGTTTATTGGAGTGACCCACCTTGTCAGAACAGTGGCACTCATCTCCACATGGGTATTGTGTCCCTGTGGAGCTGGGTGTGGCATGGCTGCTGTGCTCCAAATGTACTAACCTCTATGCCCACATGTACAGCCTGCAGTTCCTGGGAATTGTGCTGTGTGAGAAGATGCAGAGCATCCTCCTCAGAGGCTGAGGGTCCAGCTCAAGGCAGAACATGCAAGTCCGGCCTGTGACACCAGGACCGGAGTCTCAGAATGGAGCAGCCGGATCGTGGGAGGACTTTAGAATGGTGGCCAAGGGCAGAGATGACACGTGGCCAGCACCTTTGACTACCAGACTCGTGCTCAATCTGCAAGATGATACAGCCCACAGGACTGCATTGAAATGAGATTCAAAACCACAGCTTTGGTTCCTGATATTGGAACTTGCTACTTTATAGTCTTTATTGTGTTGGCAAAAGGAGATTAATGCAGAGAATGAAAAGAGGCCATATTAGCAGAAGGGACGTTTAAATTTGTATTCTGAGGGGCGAATCAGCAGTGCTCAGCAGCGCTCAGCAGCAATGGAAGCAGAGGCAAAGAATGGCATGTTAAATTACCCGTCTCAGGCTGTCAATTTAAAACACCTTTGCTGCATTCTTTTCTTTGACCAAGTACATGTGCATTTCACACACAGTATGAAGGCAACACTTGCTAGCCCGAAACATTGGTCCCTCCCACAGACACAAAGTGTTCAGTGGGGAAAGATTCTGAGTTCAACAGAAGAATTGCTTTTATTAGGAGCATTTTTGTGTAAGAATATAGGTTGCTATGAAAGTGTATGTAGTGTGTGTGTGTGTGTGTGTGTGTGTGTGTGTGTGTGTATGTGTGTGTGTGTGTATGTGTGTGTGTGTGTAATGTAGTTGCAATTAAAAAATAAAGACGGCAGTGGTTTGAATTGTAATGATTTGCAACTAAAAATCCATTAGCCCTGTCTATGGAAGATACTAAATATACCCAGTGTCAGGATGTGGTGGACTGGAAGGGCAGCCTTAAAATAGTTCCTTTGAAAATAGCCCCTCTGGATAGCTTTTCTCCACAGATCTATCTCCTTGACATACATTCCTGAGGAAATAAAGCAAATGAGTGGGGTGCGGGGAGATTGCTACAGAAGGAATAACAGAATAGACTGTTCCGTGATGTAGAACTCCAGGAATGCCAAGCCAAGGGGTCCCTCGCCCTGTTAGAAATGGCTTGCTCTCCAACTCCTGGACTCAGGACCTTGGATTGAGGTGACACTCCTGGTAAGAGTCAAGTTGCCTCACGGTCAGACAGTCTTCCGGTAGCTGTTAACATGGAGCCGTTTGACATAGGATACAGTCAGGGAAGAGTAAACGGGAGTCCTCCTGGAAGGGAGCTGTTTGACATGACTATGGAATGTGGCTGAACTCCCAATAGGTCATTTCCCCTTTGTCATGTGGCTGCAAGACTCAGGGTCAGGGAATTCACTTCCCTGGGGGCAGCCACATATACCTCGGTGGTTGCATCAATATCTCAGCTCCCATGCCTTAATCTGAACAGAGCTAAGGGGCCTATTTTGGGTTACTCCAGGGTTTCTCAACGGAGTGAGTCTGATCTCCCAGAGGCAGCTGCTGTCCTCCAAGCTTCCACTGGCCTCTTTCCTTTTCCAGTCTCAGTTCCGCCCTCTGCCCACTCCCCTCACAATGTTTCCTGGGGACCCCCAACTGAACCCTTCTCATGAGTGGCTTCCGGAAGAGCTCAGACTGGAACTACCCGGGACTTCTGTGGCTGCCATTTGGAGCCCTTTCCTGTTCTCTGAATGCAGATGAAAGCCATGGAAGGGTGCCAATCTGAATTTTTAATCTGCTGTAATTACGTGAGATGACCTAACAGTGGAGGCAGGAATTGAGATTGACGGAGAGGAAAGAACTCTGGAGTGAGGGAGACCAGCACCTGTCTCAGAGAGCAGCTCTGCTGTGTT